TACAAAAATATAGTTAGGTAGAAAGAATAAGATCTGGTATTTCGGGTTGACTTATTTATTTATTTTTTTGAGACAGAGTCGCACTCTGTCACCCAGGCTGGAGTGCAGTGTGGCAATCTCGCCCCTCACTGCAACTTCCGTCTCCTGCATTCAAGCGATTCTATTGCCTCAGCCTCCCAAGTAGCTGGAAATTACAGGCCTGCTCCACCACACCTGGCTAATTTTTGTATTTTTAGTAGAGATGGGGTTTCGCCATGATGGCCAGACTGGTCTCGAGCTCCTGGCCTCAAATGATCCGTCCGCCTTGGCCTCCCAAAGTGCTGGGCTTACAGGCGTGAGCCACCGCCCCTGGCCCCGATCTGGTATTCGATACCACAACAGGGTGATTACAATCAACAATAATTCGTTGTACATTTAAAAAGAACTAAACGTATAATTGGAATGTTAGTAACACAAATAAATGATCAATGTTAGAGGTGATGGATACCCCATTTATCCTGATGTGATTATTACACATTGTATGCCTGTATCAAAATATCTCTTGTACCCCATAAATATATACAGCTACTATGTACCCATAAAAGCTAAAAATAAAAATTTAACATTTCTGTTCTTTAAAAATTATTATAAAGAGAATAAGAAGACAACCAAAGACTGGGAGAAAATATTTGCAAATCATATATCTTATAAAGCACTTTTATCCTTTCATTCCTAGTTTTCTAATATTTTTGTTAAGTTTTAGTTAGGAATGTAGATTAAATTTTGAAAAATACTTTTTTTCTGAATCTGTTGAGATGATCACTTTGTTCTGTTAATGTCATGAATGAATTAGATTCATTCCTGAATGTTGAACTAGCCTTGTATTTTTTAATGAATATCACTTCATCGTTATATAACATCCTTTTATAGCTTGCTTGATTCAATTTGTTAATATTTTATTGAGAATTTTTGGATCTTAGTTAATGAGGGACATTGGTCTTTCCTGGTAATAAAAAACCAATGTCTTTTATTGGTCTTTCATCTATGTCAGGTTTGGCTCTCTCTTCTTTGACTTGTGGGTAATTTAGAAATGTGATTTTTAAGCACCATATAATTGAGACTCTTCTATGTATCTAAATATTATTGTTTTCTAATCGGTTGTGAACAGAGGATGTACTCTGTATGATTTTCTTCCTTTGGAATTAGTTAAACATTGTGTTATGGTCCCAGAATATAGTGTATCTTAGGGTTGGCAAAGTATGCCCTGTGAGCTGGCAGCTTGTTATTGTCAATTAAGGTTTTTTTAAATACAGTCACACCCATTTATTTATACATTATTTATGGATGCTTTTACACTAAAACGTCAGAGTTGAGCAGTTTACAAAACCTGAAATATTTACTATTTTTCTCTCGAAGGAAAATTTCCCAATTCCTATATCTTACTGAATACTAAGCACATTTCAAAAGATGTGTACAGTCAGCCCTCCACATCTGCAGGTTACACATTCATGGATTCAACCGTCAATTGAAAATATTTTAAAACATAAAATAGAAATACAAATGACAATACAATAATAAAAAGTAATAATACAAATTAAAAAATACAGCATAGCCATACTCACATAATCGTATTAGGTATTATAAGTCGTCTAGAGCTGATTTAAAGTACACGGGAGTATGTGCATAGGTTATATGCAAATACTATATACCATTTTATATAAGAGACCTGAGCATCCAAGGATCTCGGTATTCACGGGAGTCCTGGAACCAATCCCCTGCGGATACTGAAGGAAGACTGTATTTTATGGTGTATATTAGTGGTGTATTTTATAAGTATCGATTACCACAAGTTGGTTCACAGTGTCGTTTAGTCTTCTATATCTTTATTGTGTATGGCCTTTTGTTTCATGAATTATTGAAAGAGCAGTGTTAAAATATCCAACTATGATTGTGGGTTTCCTATTTTTTCCTTTAATTCTGTCTAAGTGTTAATACAATCATGATTTTGAAATAGTGCTCTTCGTTTTTGTATCACTCATTTTTTATAAATGGAGCATACCAAAGATTCGTGGGGGGAGACAAAAAAAGAGAGAGAAAAGAGCACACGATATGCACTTAATAAATGCTCTGTAATTCTTTGGCCCACTAAGCAGGCAAAGTGCTCAGGGCATCATGAAGCAAGCCTAGTCAGAGCTTGGAATTCAGAGGTCTCTGCATGTGTGTGGGGAAAAGAGCTGTGTCTTTATTTTCACCCACCTCTAACTTAAAGTGATCACGTCCTAAAACTATGGGCCTAGGCATGAAACTCCATTGATAGTAGTACTACATGTGACTGTGTCGCCAGTAAAAATTTCGGTATCACATTACACTTCTATCACATTTCTCAGAGTATCACTTATGCTCAACACTACTTTGAAACTATGGTAGTTATTATACCCATCTTGCGATACTTATGTAAGGTTTAATAAAAAAAAAATCTCCTCATATCACAATATCTTTCTAAAAGTACAAAATGTCATCTCCATACTATGCATTTTTATAATCCCATGTATTTAGTTATATATATTTATGTTAAAAATATCATTGTCTTAAGGGATCCACCGGCTGTACCAGGATACCAAAGGGATCCAAGGCACCAAAAGGCTGAGGATCCCTACTCTGAAGGTTAATATTAGGGGTCAACTTGATTGGATTGAATTGAAAGATGCCTAGATAGCTGATAAAGTATTGCTTCTGGGTAAGGGTGTTGTCAGAGGAGACTGACGTTTGAGTCCGTGGACTGGGAGAGGAAGACTCATCCTCAATGTGGTTGGGCACCAACCAGCGCGGGTAAGGCAAGGCAGATGGAAGTAGGTGGGACAAGCTGGCTTGCTGAGTCATCTGGCTTTCATCCTTCTCCCATGCTGGATGCTTCCTTCTGTTCCTCCTGCCCTTGGACATCAGACTCCAGGTTCTTTAGCCTTTGGACTCTCGGACTTACACCAGTGGTTTGCATGGGGGCTCTCGGGCCTTGGGACACAGACTGAAGGCTACACTGTTGGCTTCCCTATGTTTGAGGTTTTTGGACTCAGACTGAGTCACTACTGGCTGCTTTCTTCCCCAGCTTTCAGACGGCCTGTCATGGGACTTCGCCTTGTGATCATTTGAGCCAATTCTCCCTGATAAACTCCTTTTCATACATATACATATACATATACATATACATATACATATACATATACATATACATATACATATACATATACGTGTGTGTGTGTGTGTGTGTATGTAGGATACATATATCCTATTGGTTCTGTCCCTCTGGAGAACCCTGACTAAAACACCTACTCTAGGGGATGTTTTGAAATGAACATCCAAGGGCAAAGGGAAGGCAATGGACTGACAGGCCGGATGTTTTCACATATGTAATCTCATGTGCACAGACAATACAGAGGTTTCTGTGGTTGAAGTGCTGGAGCCTAAAAAAGCAGAAAGTGAAGCTGAGGTTGGACCTACTCAGGGGTAGGGGGAGTTGGAGTAAGTTGGGCAGTTTCCATTTTAACCAAGAGACCACAGGGAGTCACCATGGGTCTGTGGGCAGGAGAGGGCACACTCCAGTGGTGTCTGAGGCTGTTGCTTCAGAAGCCCGGAGGCAGACCAGCTACGAGCTGGAGCACAGGAAGTAAAGGAACAGAAGAGGGGATCCATCAAGTGAGGGGGCAGGGGCAGGAGGCTGGGCAGACAAACGTGGGCCCCAAAGGACTAGAACCCAGTCCATGGCACCCTCCCTGCAGCCCCAGTCAGGGGCAGGTAATGGCTCCAAGTCTGCCCTTTGGGATGCTGGCCTCTGAGAAGCGAGGTCATTGAGGGGAAGAGGCCCAGGTTGGGAGAAAGAAGGCTGTGTGAGGCTTCAGGGGTCCAGTTTTCAAGGTACTGAGTGAGCCACCAGGAGCACAGAGGCAGGCTTTTTCCCAATCCTGCTCTTTCATACACCACCCCACTCCCAAAGGAGCCCGCCAGACTGGCCACAGCTAGAATCTGTAAGAGACGCCAACATAACACAGTCCTGGGAAACCAGCTCCGTCAGACATGGCTCCTGCTACCAAGGCCAGAGTCCCTTGACCTGGGCTTCTTTACACATAATCCTACAGCAGTGGTTCTCAAAGTGCCATCTCCATGCCAGCAGCATCCGCATCAGCTGGTACAGTGTTAGAAACCTAAATTATTGGGCCTCACCAAACCCACTGAACTGGGAACTCTGGGAGTGGGGTCTAGCAGACTGTTAAGTCCACCAGAAGGTTCGATGCCGCTTCATTTTGGAGGAACCAGTGAACTCCAGAAAGGCCTAAACCATGCAGACCCATTCATTTTCGTTTTGAGAGAAGTGACCCATCACACTGTTCTGAGGTTTTCCTACAGGACAATTGTCAATGAAGAAATCATTTGTTTGGTCACCATAGCGTGTGGGCTGATTTAAAGGTGTGTCTAGCTCAATAACAATTGTTTTCAGAAACTTTTTGAAGCACTGTAACAATCCCACCTCCCAAATGTTAAGTTGTTGATTATGAGTGGTTTTTAGGCCTTTATTAACTAACATTAATCTTCACAGCACATTCCTTTGCATTTCCTGATGTGGATCTCAGGCAGGGACTCTGACTGACTTGCTTTTGTGCCCAGTTTTGTTTGGCTGTATATTCATAGTGCCCAGGGCAGCAGTAGGTGCTGTTTACATATCTGCTGAATAAATGAATCTAGGTAGGGCTGGCATTCTCATGATTCTGATTTTGCACAAAAGAAAGCAAAGGCTCAGAAGACAGAAGTATTTATAAATTGTGCCCTGCCTCTCTGCCTGCATAAAGGGTGCAAGGCTGTCTCAGAGCAGCTGGGATCCACGCCACAGGTGGCGCAGCTAGCAAACGACTGACTCAGCATTTCCTTCTAGATCTGCGAATGCAGAAGCAACTCTTTGCTTAGCTGTGACTGAGAAAATGCCCTTCCCTAGGGGAGAAGAAACACGTTTTCCTGCACAAGCCGGTCTATAATTCCAAAGCACTTTCCCTCCAGGTGCTTGTAGGTGACTGAGATATGGTCGAATCTAGACCAAGTCACAAAATCACTGATATCCACTGTGCGGACGTATCCACTAGATGCCACTGCCAAGTTAAAGAGAGCTGAATCCTAATCGTGAGGTTTTGAGGGGAGATGTGTGACTTTCTCAGAGAGATTAAATGTAGCATTAAACATCCTCTGTAATAAACCGTAATTTTCTTGGGATTGGACAGGAAGGGCAACAAGCCCTGGAGATATCTTTCCTCCAGGGTTGTCACCTTGGATGCTGGATCTGTCACAGAAAAGGAAAAGTCTCCTGGCCTATGGACTTCAGGACACAAACAGTTGTATCTTGTGCTTCTCACAGCACAACCTAGCGCTATAATGCACCGATGGCATCTTTGTTGAATGCATGCTCCTGTACATGAACCGCCTAAGAGGGATGATAGCGTGAGCTGAGCCATAACTTGGAGAGAGCTTCGAAAGAGAAAGGCATTCTCTTCTCCTCTGCTCTGCATCAGGAGTTGTTCTCTAGGCTGATTTTCAGGTCAGGAGTGAAAAAAGAGGTGTGAAAGATAAAGCTTGCCAAAAAGGTCTTTTACTTGATGTATACTATGACTTAGTGTTCACATTGGGTTAGGGTTATTATTTCAATTTCTCTTAAAAAATTGACACAACTAAGGCTCAGAGAAGTTAAGTGTTTTATCTGAGGTCACACAGCAAGCATGTGCCTGGGCTCAGGTCTCTCTGAGCCTGAGCCCTTGCTTATGCTTCCTCCCCTGCACATTCTGGGATAATCTCTCTCTCTCTCTCTCAACTCCCAGAGACCAGACTCTGACAGGATCCTGAGGGATTCCTGCCAGGGAGTTGCCATCTCTGGAAGCCCCCACCCCCATGCCGGGCGAATCTTTTTTTCTGTGGAGTGCGGGCCTGGAGCTAGGTGAGGCCTGAGCCTCCATTTCAGGGGCTTTCTGTAGAATCTGTTGCTGCTGTTGCCTCCAGTAGAGTCTGTTTCAGGAAGAGGTTTGCCTGCCTGCGCGGGACAGCCGTGCCATTCATCACTGCAGGAGGGCAGAATCCGGGGTTGGGGGCCGCACGTCGAGAGGGGAGGGGCCAGGGGGCGGCCCCCTTGTGACCAGCCCTGAGGAGAGGTCAGGAGAGAAGGCTGGCTGAGGAGCGCCTGGACAGCAGCAGTTGCTGACGTTCTATATCACGCGCCTGGGGCCCAAGGTAACCCAGACCTTTAAACAAACCGCCGGGCTGGGGGCGTTGCGGGGGCAGGAGAGGGAAAAGGGAGCAGGGACTTCGGGGATCGCCCGAGGATGGTGGTGGCTTTAGAGGTGGCAAATGCCTGAAGGGAGGGAGTAGTAATCCGAATTCTAGGAGAAATCGTAGGAATTGAAGTCGCAGAAGCAAGAAAAGGGGTGTGAGAGCACAAGAGCGAAAAAGCGTGAGAGGGCGCAAGAGCTGGGCGGACCGAAAGTGCGCTGAGGGGCAACGGCTTAGAGTGGAACACACCGGGTCACAGAAGTATAGATAAGGTAGGAGCAGAGGGACACTTTCTTCCTCTGAGTTCATTTTCCAAAAGTGCGTCCTTTCAGCCATTTTTGAGAGAAAATGTTGACCCAAGTGTTTTTTAGGATACAGGGAAAGAACGTCAGAGGAAGCTGCACCAAAGCGAGGCTGCGCAGGGCGCAAAAAAGCAGACAGAGGGTGGCGCCTTTTTTAAAGAAGTTTCCATCCTTTCTGTCCTAAAGCTCAGGCCGTTCCCCACCCCCACCGCTCGCTAGCCTTCTGTTCCCAGTCCCCTGGCCCCTGCATGATCTGAGCGTCTTTAAAGCAGGTAACCGCCTCGGTCTCCCCATCAGCTCCAGGGGCCTCTCAGTTGAGTGGGTGGAGCCGGCAGCGGCCGCGGGCTGAGCTCAAGGGCCGATGGGAGGGGTCCTGGGGGCGCTAACTGCGCACTGCGGCCATGACGCTGGGCAGATCATTCACAGAAGTCTGTCTCGTTTCATCTACAGTCGCAGCTCGTTTCCAGACGCCTTGCTTCTCAGGTCGAGCAGTGATCTGATGGCCCAGGTTCCAGAAACTTCTTTGCCCTCCGGCTCTGGGGCCCGCTGGATCTCCGGAGGTGGGGGAGGAGCCTCTCCTGAGGAGGCGGTTGAGAAGGCGGGGAAAATGGAGGAGGCGGCGGCGGGGGCGACGAAGGCGTCTTCGGGACGGGAAGCTGAGGAGATGAAGCTGGAGCCATTACAGGAGCCTAAGCCCGTGCCGGAGGAGAACTTGACGTGGACCAGCGGCGGCGGCGACGAGAAGGTGCTCCCTTCAATCCCCCTTCGCTGTCACAGCAGCTCCTCGCCCGTTTGCCCGCGCCGCAAGCCCCGCCCTCGGCCCCAGCCCCGGGCCCGCTCCCGCAGCCAGCCTGGGCTGTCGGCCCCACCCCCGCCTCCGGCCCGGCCCCCGCCCCCGCCGCCACCCCCGCCCCCATCCGCACCGCGGCCCAGGGCCTGGCGTGGATCCCGGCGCAGATCCCGACCTGGGTCCAGGCCTCAGACACGGAGAAGCTGCTCTGGTGACCTAGACGGGTCGGGGGATCCTGGCGGCTTAGGGGACTGGTTGCTGGAGGTCGACTTTGGTCAGGGCCCCACAGGCTGCTCTCATGTGGAGAGCTTTAAAGTAGGTAAGAACTGGCAGAAGAACCTGAGGCTGATCTACCAGCGTTTCGTTTGGAGTGGGACCCCAGAGACTAGGAAACGTAAAGCAAAGTCATGCATCTGTCATGTATGTAGTACCCATATGAATAGACTCCACTCTTGTCTCTCCTGTGTCTTTTTTGGCTGCTTCACTGAGAAACATATTCACAAACATGCAGAAGCAAAGCAGCACCATTTAGCTGTAGACGTTTATCATGGGGTCATATATTGCTTCATGTGTAAGGATTATGTATATGACAAAGACATAGAACAGATTGCCAAAGAAACAAAAGAAAAAATTTTGAGATTAACTTCCACCTCAACAGATGTTTCTCATCAACAGTTTATGACATCAGGGACTGAAGACAAGCAATCAACCTGTGAGACAAAGGAACAGGAGCCAAAATTGGTGAAACCCAAGAAAAAGAGAAGAAAAAAGTCAGTCTATACTGTAGGCCTGAGAGGGCTAATCAATCTTGGGAACACTTGTTTTATGAATTGTATTGTCCAGGCACTTACCCATATTCCTCTACTGAAAGATTTCTTCCTCTCTGACAAGCACAAATGTATAATGACAAGCCCCAGCTTGTGTCTGGTCTGTGAAATGTCTTCGCTTTTTCATGCTATGTACTCTGGGAGCCGAACTCCTCACATTCCCTATAAGTTACTGCATCTGATATGGATCCATGCAGAACATTTAGCAGGGTACAGGCAGCAGGATGCCCATGAGTTCCTTATTGCAATATTAGATGTGCTGCATAGACACAGCAAAGATGATAGTGGTGTGCAGGAGGCCAATAACCCCAACTGCTGTAACTGCATCATAGACCAAATCTTTACAGGTGGCCTGCAATCAGATGTCACATGTCAAGCCTGCCATAGTGTTTCCACCACCATAGACCCATGCTGGGACATCAGTTTGGACTTGCCTGGCTCTTGTGCCACATTCGATTCCCAGAACCCAGAGAGGGCTGATGGCACAGTGAGCAGGGATGACCACATACCAGGAATCCCCTCACTTACAGACTGCCTACAGTGGTTTACAAGGCCAGAGCACCTAGGAAGCAGTGCCAAAATCAAATGCAATAGTTGCCAAAGCTACCAGGAGTCTACTAAACAGCTTACAATGAAAAAATTACCCATTGTGGCTTGTTTTCATCTCAAGCGGTTTGAGCATGTAGGCAAACAGAGGCGAAAGATTAATACCTTTATCTCCTTTCCCTTGGAGCTGGACATGACTCCGTTTTTGGCCTCCACTAAAGAGAGCAGAATGAAAGAAGGCCAGCCACCAGCAGATTGTGTGCCCAATGAGAATAAGTATTCCTTGTTTGCAGTGATTAATCACCATGGAACTTTGGAAAGTGGCCACTATACCAGCTTTATCCGGCAACAAAAGGACCAGTGGTTCAGCTGTGATGATGCCATCATCACCAAGGCTACCATTGAGGACTTACTTTACAGTGAAGGGTATTTACTCTTCTATCACAAACAGGGTCTAGAGAAAGACTAGTCTTACCAGACCACTTACTGAAAAAAAGTAAATGATTAGGCAAGGATTTTGAAGTGACACACAGACCTACTTGGAATGGACAATGACAATAACACCTATATGACAGCTAGTATCTTGATGTAAAGAACCTATTTTAGCATGGCCCATGGGTCTGTAGGAAGAAAAAAAATGAATACTAACCAGTGACCATTCAACCTTAAGAAATGGGGAGAGGGAGAAGAGGTTCAAAATGGTCACATAAAGCATAATGAAATGAAAAGAATGCTTTAGGTGGGGACAATGGGAGTAGAGGTGTTCTGATGCTACTATGTCATTTGTTTCTACAGAAATATCTTGTGAAGTCAGGGAGTATTCCTTTATCAGCAAAAACTTCACAATTGGTGTTCCAGCTGTGGCTGACCAGCCAAATAGTTTGAAAGAAAAATAATATTTTAAAATAAAGTTTAAAAAGCTTTAAAAGAAAAACATTTAAAAAGGAAAAATCATTTTTAAGGTTTTAAAAGAAAAAAATTTTAAATGTTGAAAAAAATTTAAGTTGATATTTTTTAAATAAATATTTTAAAAGTTAAAAATAATTTTTTAATTTAAAGAAGTTTCAGAATTTTAAAAATTAAAAGCAAATTAAATTCTTAAAGTTTAAAAATGTAAAATAAGGAACAAGGTTAAAAATGAAAGTTTACCAAAAAAAGGAAGAAAATACTGTTAAAAATTAAAGTTAGAAACAAAAGAACATCTTAAAAGTTTCAAATGAAGGAAAATAATATAAATAGATATTTCAAAATTAAAGCATAAAATATACATATTTAAAAAGTGTTAACAAAATTACTACTATAATGATTAAGAAATAAATTTTCGAAAATACAGAATGGAATGCAATTCAATTTTAGAGAAAAGTTTTAAAAGAGGAAAGTTTAGAATAATTCAATACAAAAAGACAAAATTTGTTTAAAGACAAAAATTGAAAAAATATAGGAAGAAAATAGAGACTTGTGAAATAAAAAGAACCTTAGATAAGTTCAATTCAAGAGATTTAAATGAAAACTTTAAATATTTAAATAAAGATTTAAAAATTTAAACTTAAAAAAAGTTACATAAAAATTGACAAATGAAAAAATGTAAAAGATTCAAGCAGAAAAAAATTATTAAAATTAAAAGTTTAAGAAGTTCTATTTTTTTATTTAAGCATATTAAAATACAGACGGGTATGAAAGAAATGGAGGAGACAGGAATAACAAGACAGCGGTGTGTGAGTATATATATTTTTTGAACTTTATGTTGATATATCAATATACTTTGCAAAAGGAAATAGACATTTTAATCATTATCTTACCATCCAATTGTGAGATGGCTGCAAGGCCTAAACACTAACTAACCCACCTTTCTCTCTTGAGATTCCATGCCCCATCTCATATCCTGAAGGAAGTCGAATTACTTCCTAGGCAGAATCAATTCATCTGAGAAAAATGAAAACATTAGGGACTTTTCCATTTAGAACTGCATTATTCATACAAATTCTTAGCTTCTGAAAAGGAGCTTGATAATTTGGTGGCTTAGGGAAGTTAGATCACAGCTGTGAAACTCTGGCTTTGGTATTTGAGCCCCATGGCCTGACTGAGGAAGTGGCAGGGACCCATATCTGAGGCCCTCCCACCTTCCTTTTTCCCTCTTCCCCTTCCAAGGGGAAACAAGACCTTTAATTTCCACAGTAGACCTATGGGCTTGTGCTTGCAGTCCTTCTGCTCATTCGTTATTCCCTCTTTATTTCCTTTTTTTTCGTCACTCATGCCTAGTTCCCTGAACCCCTCACTTACCTGGCCTTACCTACATCTCTGAGCCCCAGCCTGCAGGGCTCCTTCTTTGACTATTCACCTGGTGGCTTTTACTCCTCCTTCAAGACCCAACTCACAGATGACTTCTCTGTAGCCTTCCCTGAATGCTCAAGGCAGGTATAAATGAGAAAATTGTTCCTCCCTCGCCCTCTTTATTCCTCTCACTGTGCCTCCAAAGTACTTTGTCCATACCTCGGTGATAGTACTTATTCTACTGTGATTTTATTGTAGCTTTGTGATTGTCTGCCCCTCTGCACTGAGCATCTGAGACCAGGGGGCCAAGCCTTACTCATTTCTGTGTTAATAAATATTTGTTAAATGTGAAGATGAGTTCAGTTATTTGCTCTATTCACCTTGTCAGTAATATTTTCTCACCCCTTCATCCATCAGGCTGCTATTAAATGCCCAGTGCTATAATACAGTGTGATCAGTATTGTATTTTACCCCAAAGCAGGGTATTAAAAGCACTCAGCTGCAGGGGCTGGCTTAAGAAAGGTGATCAGTGAGAAATAGCCGGGTGTGTGGAGGGAGGCCCAGGTACAATGCAGAGAAAAGAGCACAGGCCTGGAAGTTGGCAGTCATGGAAGACTGGATGGGGAAGAGGAGCAGCAATAGAAGGTGAGGCTGAGCTCTCTGGCATGTATGTGGCCACACTGCCCCTCATCACAGTGTCCCTCAGCAGCAGTGTCTCACAACTGTGTACCACACCTTTCTAGGGTTTACCACATTAGTTTACCTTCCCCATGAGACAGTAGTACCTCACCACTGCACAGTGTTCTTCATGACACTGCACATCATCACTCTGCTACAAGGGAGTGATGTCTGGTGACTTTGTTTATCGAAGAGCTGTAGTTTATTTTTCTGCTTAGCACCCTCGTTTTCCCACCATTCTTTGTGGACCTATTGGGGCTACTGATCACTTTTCCCTGCCTCTGTCACCCCTCCCCAGGGTGGGCACGTTACACAGGCTGGGCCAGATTAGAGTTCTCAATTCCCCGGTCCCTCTACCAATACCCCTCCCACAAGAGCATTTCTTCTGAGGGTGGGCATAGGGCCCAAGTAGGGCCAATCAGAGTCTATTGCTAAATTGAACGTATATGAACACTGGAAGAAAATACGTGTCTCCCTCCTGACCCCACCCCCAAGCTGTAATCACTATGCTATGATGACCTGATTCTGGGACTTTGAGAGGTTAATATCTATAACACAGAGAAAACCAGAACTGGAGATTGGGAGAAAGAGCCCAGGGAACATCGTTTGAACCTTGTGGATCCAGCTGTGCCAGAAGTGCCGAAGTTCCCAGCTATCTGAGCCAATAGAGTCCTTTGTTTTGCTTAAGCTAGTTTCAGTTGGGATCCTGTCATTTGCAGCCAAGGGTCTTGAACATACTAACCAAGCTATATGATTAGTGGAACATCAGTTCCTAAGACCACAAAGCATGAGAGAGAAAAGGGAAGGAGGAGTGACCTTGGATGAACTTCATCATATAAAATTAAGAAACTATAGTGAGTCCCTGTACATCTTTAAGAAACAAGTGTCAGCTCAGCCACTGACCTGTGCTAGACTTCAAACCTTACAGCAATGAAATGCTTATTCCAAATAAAAGGGGGAAAACGGCAATAATGTTATATGAGTACTGATTTAAAGCAGGCACTGTGTTAACTGCTTTACCTTGATTATCTCACTGGGTCCTGGGTCCTCGTATTTCTGGGAGACAGTCATTACTGAACATATTTCACAAACTGGGAAAGTGAAAATCAGAATAGAAAAGTGATTTGCTTAAGTTCACTCTACTGTTCTAATCAGTGAAGCCATTATTCAAATGCAGGTCCCCAAAGCCCATGCATGTCCCATCATAATCCAGTATAGATAATTCAAATATATATATTTTTGCTTTTCGTGATTTTCCTATGGAAGACAGTATAAACCAGCATGGTACAGAAGGGCAACTTCTGACAAATCTGGATGCAGGTAACCTGCAAGGAGAGAGTAACCTATCAACTACACAAAGTTGCCCATGCTGTAGGTGTATTTGTTTTTGTGGAAATGGCTGATTCAGATAGATCAGGCTAAACGACTTTCCTAAGGATAATAACGATGGATGAGACCAAAATATTACCCCCAATATAAGACACATAGCCTCACTCAATACTATATGCCAGGCTGAGCACCAAGACCTGACTGTAAGATCTCACGTTTTTGCTATCTGTAAAACTTCATCAGCTCTTTAGTCACACAAGAATTCTTTTCTAACATCAACACCATAGCCATCACTTTGAGTGTCATTTTTATCACCCCTCTCCCTCAGATCCTCCCAAAATGCCCACAACACCAGCTCCTCCAACAAGCCTGGGGAGGGACTTACCCGTTGGGACCTTATCCAGGTGGTCCAATACTGATTTGCAATGTATAGCTTCTGTTGTTTCTGAATTGCTTTCAGTTCCTTTACCTTGATTCTCTTCCAAACACACAGTAGTGGCTACTCCGGGCCAGGGCCAGACCTATGTGTTTATAAATCCCACAGGCCTACCACAGTTTATGGCAGGTACTTAACATGCTGGCTGAATGAATATATGAATGAACAAATGAAGACATTCCATTCTACACTCAAAGCCTCAGCTTCAGCAGGTGACTTCATGTCCTATTTTTCTGAAATCAAAAATCTCATAAGAATGCCTGATTTACCCATGTCTACACACTTAAGTTTCCATCCATTCTGTATGCCTTCACTATCATTTCAAAGGAAAAGGAATACTGCTTCTTTTTTGAAGCTGCACCCACTAGCCTCCTTCTTCTAATCCATTCCTAACAGCCCGAGGGCCTTACTCCTACACACTTCCCTCTGTTCCAGTAACAGCCATGTTTTCGCTAGACAGATAAAATCCAGCAACTAGACATCCTAGATTTTCTATGGTAGTTCCTCAAAAATGTTGTCCCATCATCCCTGTAAGAGAAAAAGTCTCCCAAATCCCAGTACTTCTCTAGAGTGTATGTTATCCCCAGAAGAAACCCGAGTCTGTTTTAAAATCCAGATTTGGGGTCTCATGTTTAAAAGAAAAATACATTACCTTTGCTCCCCTTCCTTTCACTGCCAAATTCTTTCTCATGTGTTTTTTTCATACACTATTTTCACTTACCTCCTGCTCCATCTTTAGTTCCCTGCATTCTGGTTTCTGCTTGTACCACTCTGTTGAAACTACTTTTGCTTAAGTTAAAATGACTTATTTTTTCAAAATTCCTGATTTTACTACTTTATTCCATTTAATAAAGAGAGATATGATATTTGCAGATAATGGAACAGCAATCACAGAATATTTGAAGTTAAAGCTTTCCTCAAAAAATCCAGATCATAATGTTGCCACGTTGGCTACCATTTAGGAGCAATTTCAGCTTCCCTTATACCAGGAGAGTATGCCAAATCTGAGAAAGGGACTGCAGCTAGAGGTGGAGCAAGTGGAGTTGAGGAAGGGATTGCATAGAAAATCAAATGTTAAAAAACTGCATCATGTTTTAAATGTATCAGAGAAGTTGGTATCTAAGGACAGGTGTAGAAAATCCTTTTTGTATGCAAATGAGGCCTTATC